CGTCTAAGGGGCCTTCTAGAGTTGCGGCATTCAATAAACTGATAATGCATTTGAAATTCCCTTGGTGTAGCAGTCACTTACCTTCGGTGAACCGCATACTCGTTTGCCCCCTCTCATATAAAAAACGTCAGAGTTTGGCTTGGCAGTGTCGTGCATTTATTAGTATGAAATTCTTACCTACAAAATCAGCGAAATTGGCAACATGAACCTGTAATAAGTATATCCTCGACGTATTGTTTGGTTATCAAACCACCTCCCTTAGTTCTGTCGGTAATGAAAACAAAGTCTGTATTCGCTTCCGTTAAAATGCCTGCCAAAACTTGTACGTAACCTGGATATGGGAAAATATAAAAGTCGCTGTTTCAGCAATGCAGCACTAAATAAGACCTTCTTCAGATTGCCTATGTAACCTACTTATTCCGTCGTTACCATATAAGAACGTTCGGGAATCCACGTCACTAGCGTTGCACCACTGAACAAACTAATAAATGCTTCTAATTCACCACTCTGATCATACCATCATACATCTTTAAGCCTACTTCCTATTAATATACAGCCTTGCAACGTGGTCATTTGCTATCCTCACTGCAGAGAACTCGCGTCGCGACTCCACGTGAGGGTTGCACTACTGAATAAACAAATACATGTTTCTGACACACCATTCTGAAAGATCTTTAAGCCTGCTTCTTTTTACCATACAGCCTCTCCAGGTCTTCGTAGTCGCTTGTTCTTTCGCAAAAGATTGATTACGCAAGTGATGGGTAGATTTACGTTTCACGACCATTTCATGTTTAAATGTTTACTTTGTAACAAACAACTGCGTATGTGTGGTGGGACGCACGTTTAATATCGTATGACGTATTGAAAACAATGATAAATACCTGCTTATTTATTACAAACTTTTTCACGTGCGTTTAGATGAAAACCGTTTACGCGGCGGTATGTTCGCAATGAGTGGGGTATCGATAGTGCTGTTGCTGTTGCTTTGTGTGGCTGCCATTTTGCTCCATCGACATCGAACACGACGACAAATGCAGACATTTGAAATTGACGTTATGAATCATCATTGAACACTTATATTTAAGCATATACTAATCAATAGCGTTTCGTAGTATGTACTCGTATATAACATGTTATTAACAAATAAACGTGTGATATTTATTATTTAGCCTTTTAGTTAATTAGATTACCTATGTGATTAATACTCTTTGGTTACGATGGACTGATTACCGAGTTAAAGGTCCAACAAATTTCATTCATGGCAGCAGTAGTAAGCTACTCGAATAATAAAATAATCTAAACACGTATGAATAAAATTTAAGTCTGTCTGTTATATCGAAATAACTGCATTTTAAGCCGGCAATACATGTTGACCAAACCTCAACCAACGCGAGCGTAGGCAAATTGATACAAGGCAAGTACGACAGTCTACATGTTGGCCTAGTTCGACTAACATGTGCACACGACTTGCCGAGTGCAGACGAGTGCCTTTGATTTGTGCAGAAAAACCGACGCTGTTCTGAAGTGAGACGAGTCGTGGCAAGCGATACCGAGTGGTGGCAAGGCTCGCCAAACGAACCGCATACGCGTTGGCGCTCGCCTACACTCGGCCAGTTAGGCAAGTGACGACGAGCAATGGCGAGGCTAGACAAATGGGCTGTCTATAGTCTATACGTTGGTACTCGCCTTCGCTTGGACAACATGTATTGCCGGCTTTATTGAGCTGAGCTATTTTATCCGAAAAACTTGCGATATGTTTTTTTTTTAAATCGAAAATTTGTTGAGTATCTTTAATTCAAATAATAAATCCTACGGGCGGATAATAAGCTTTTAAATTAACTTTATTTCTGTAAACCGGTACTGTGAAAAGAGCTTGAGAGTCATCGTTAACTATTGTCATTAAGTTTGTTTGTCAATAATAATTCACAACTTACATTTGCACTTATTTCTATTTTTGTGTATTTGTATGTGTATTTATGTATGTTACTATTTAAGTAAACCCTAACTATAGCCGAACAACGCCGTGGCAGCGCAGTGTTTTATTGCACGCCAGAAATATCATTATACGCGAGCGACCGCCGCGCCGATATCAATAAAATTGTCAATTGCAAGTAAACTAATTTAACACTTGTTTAGTGGTGAAAAACTGCACCGTGAAACCTGCATGTCTGAGAATTTAATAATATAATTTGAAGTCTTGTAAAGTCCGCAATACTCACTGGGGCAACGCGGCAAAAGTTTCCGTACCTTATAAAATCCTCTCAGAAATGAGAGGAGGCCTGTGCCCAGGAGTGAGACGTATACAGGAATTTCACTTTTATTTATATTACTTAATAAGATCATGAAACTTTGCATACTAACTGAACTAACTTGGAACCGGGCGGCAGGAAACAAGCTTCAGGACGCCGATAATTTAGGTAATTTCTTTTTACAGTGAAAATAATGGTAATTTAAAAAAAAACACAAGCCCTGCTTTATAGTTAGTTCAGTTGGTATGCAAAGTTTCATGATCTTATTTAAAGTATTTTATGAATAACAGCGGTTTATTGTTCAGTTTGGAGGTAACTTTGGATTTTTTTTTCTATCGAGAAAATTTTACGGAATCATGTTTTCGTCTAACATAGTACTTAACATTAATCCTCAAATTTACCATATATTTATTTTAAAATTAATGCTGCAATATTTTCGGCATAACGGAGGATCTTGCTAAGCCATTTGAGGTTATATTTCCCTTTAAATGACGCTATTGGTACAATCCGGTAGCAATCGACTGGTTCATCGATACTAATTGTCTTAACTTGTTCAGTACGATTGAACTAAAGAGATAAACGAGTTTGTGCGTGTTTGTCTAATTTCTGTCGGTGCGTGCTGTATTTAAATCCTAATAAAAAACAAGTATTTAACTTCAACACTTTATTACTTGACAACACTTTATTTGTTTGACCTATCCTAAGAGATCTATAAAAACCCGCGTGAAGGAACATATAGCTGATGTGAAGCACCGACGCTCCGGGAAGTCTGCAGTCTGCAAACATGTTCAAGATCGTCCCCACCATTACATTAGATTTGATAAACCACAAATTCTCGCAAAAGAACACCGATTCCTATCAAGGATGATACGCGAGGCTATTGAAATTAAAAAACATCCAAATATCAATAGAGAAGATGGTTGGGTGCTACCATCTGCTTGGGATCCTATAATTAACAAAATTAAACCCAAACCCAAGCATACCACTGCAAGACTTCATGATACTATAAGCTCGTTTTGCGTAAATCGGACCCAAAATTGATATTAAAAAAAAACTGAAGGTAGTCGGACTAACTATGACATTGGGACGTCAAACATCTCAGTCCCCCCCGTGACCATGGGTGCTGTAAATCACCCGAAACGTCGGGATAATAATAAAAATAAATTAAAGTAATTAAACGTAAATCCGTAAATAATAGTTTTATTCAATGTGTAGTGCTCGCGTAAATTTAAGAAATCATTATGTTTAATGTAGCTTTATGTCTTGTAATTCGTCTATTTTTATTTAAAAAATTTAATTAAAAGATATAATCTTTCATTTCATTAAAAATTCAATTTTTTTTTCTTTATTAGCAGTGTAAAGTGGTTTCTTAAAACCATATCGTTCACGTTTTCGTGAATTCATGACATTAAATAGATGGTTAAACTTTTCAACAAGTTGTACTGTAGCTTCTGTGTTAACAAACCGTGTTGAGAAAAATAATTGTTCATACAGTCTTAATGCATGTGCTACGCTTCGACTGAGGAGCTGGGTAGCGCGCTTTACTTTCATAAATTGATTACGGAAGTTGATATGTTTTGGTGTTAGTTTAAGTAAATTTACGAGAAATTGCCACTTTACTTCTCGATTTTCATGCATTACATTTCAAACATTATTTTGGACTGAAATGTGTTTCTTACAAGTTTTATCATGTGATATGGATCTAAAAAAACAGTGACATCCATGTTACATGATGGTTTGAAGGTTGTTATGAACGTTATTAAGATTACAACCAAATAGATTAGCGGCATTTACATCAAACGAACAGCCGTCAAACGTTAATGCAACTACATGAACGTCTACTTCCCAGCATTTTGTTAAACAAATTTTTATTAAGTTTGACTTAGTCTAAGCTGTGAGTGTGTAAGCTGTGTCTGTCAACGAAAAAACATCCGACAGGTAGTTTCCAGTTTTCATCTAGACAAACAAGCATCATCACAAAAGCTTGTGAAGCAACCCTATCGGAATGTTTTTACGGGAACCGGATATTTGGTTTTCAGAACTTCGAACGCTTCAGCTGACGTCCTGGCGCTGCGTTTAAATTTTAATACCATTTTCCTAGCGTTCGAGGGTGAGGCAAGGCGTCTTCAAAAACTTTTGCACGTATTTGTATCCCGCCTGAGAGTAAACATTTAAAGTTAGGGCCAATTTTCTTAAAGGTGGACTGAATTTCACCCTTACGTTTTTTTCAGCGCCTCTTTTGCTTACTTACTCTTGCAAACAAATCAGCTGCTCCGCTGCTGCTGCTTCGACCTTTACACACAATTTTTGTGTAATTAGTTTTCAGGAACATTGAGGTCTTTTTTCAGTTTAATGATTGTCTCCTTTAGTGATTTACACCGTTCCTCAAGTCTTTTACCGTTTCTCTTCAAATTTTTATTTTCTTTAATATTAAGTTTCTTTTTATCAAATGTTATTTTTCTATATTTTGTAGTCTATTATGAAAAACACCTATTGCTCTGGTTGATGTCTGTTGGAAACGGTCCTGAAGGCTGTAAAGGCTGTTAGGGCCCCATATCAAGAATTTGACGTTTTTTGTTATCACTTACTATTTTTTCGTGAAGTTTCTCAAGTCATAAGAAGATTTATCGTACACATTTTCGAAAAATGGAGAGGTCTATGGTTTCCAAATAATCCGTTCTTATGTGTGCCATGCAAGCATCATCCACGTTCACATGATCGGTGGCGGAGGTATCTCCCTGCAATAATTGTCTAATCTTCTTCAGTAGGCTTCTCAACCAACACTGCAGTTACCACATTATTCGAGTCACCATCGATAGAAATATTTTGTCCAGAAGTACTTGCAGAAGGCTGACTAAAAAACTTGTCAATTCTAGGCAATTTTTGTTTACTATCTTCTCTTTCTTGGCGTTGTTTGTGTTTAAATGCACCACTGGGTTTCTTCTTCTTGTCCATAACTTTAGTTTTCTAATTTATTTATGCAATATTTATATTAGATTGTGCTCGAGTAGGTACTCACTGTTCACTGACAGCGTTAAAAGTAAAAGGAAGGAGAAACGTAATGATAGGCTACAATACGTCGTTGGGGAATCCCCGGCGAACATTTTATCGCTACTAGTGTTATCACATTTAATGGTGTAGACCAAGAACGATCTCCTCGAGCGCGTACCTGATTTATTCCACCTTCTGCAGGTGACCTTCGTTTTTTTCACGATACTTCGCGTTATACATTGAGTAGTCAAAATCTATAGATTTGACATGATTTATTGACGTAACGGACATCAATATGAGTAATACTAAAATCAAATAATATTGACCAGTGCTAAAAAGTTTATTGACATTAGCTTACTTACTCCTGATACAGCATAAATTTTTTTCCTGTTCTCGAAAAAAGATCTTGACTCGAATTCACAATAAAATTAATAAAAAAACGTCATCATATCGCATATTGCTATCCGTCAAATTGACAATACTGCCAATCCACAGAAAGAATTTGGGGGAATTTCCCAGGTATAACTTTCGAATTTCTCTCAACTGAATTGCCATGATTAAATTCGGGTTGCAACCTGTCATATTTATTTTGGAAATGGGAGAAATTTTCATACGTTTAGTTCGATCGAGATTTTCTGGTAAGGATTCTGATCATATCATCATACCCCTAGTTCTGTCGGTAATTAAAACCAAGTCTGTATTCGCTTCCTTTAAAATACCTGCCAAACCTGCCAGCTATCGAAAAAACTGGTTTATCCGAAAGTAAAAGGTTGGGTAGGGAGTTCATTTGTGTTACAGGCAAAGCTGTTTACATTATTAATGTAATCTTATTCATGCAATAATTGGTCTTCCCTATCCATAATTAATAGGCAGAATAATAAACATATTATCGCAATCTTTGTGAAAAGTCTGAAAATAGTGAAAAATTATTTCCGATGATATCGTTAAACAATAAGTAGAAGTATGGGTATAGTGTCGCGTTTCTAATTTCATACATAGGATGTCGATTTATATTTAAAAACAGAAGGGGTTATACTGCAATTGATATTAATTAAATTTGTAGCAGTAATAGTCGTTATATACAAAGTGTCCCAAAATTCAACGACAAGCCAACACCGGAGGATAGAGCTGCCCCGGACTAATCGGGGAAAAAAAGAAAAAAAATATATATAACCCAAATTATATTTTAAGCTATATAAAAAAATGAAATTCTTCAGAAATTGAGACCGTTTATGATATTTTTCACTACCATGACCACAATTTTTTTAATATTTGTTTCTTTTTTTTATAGGCAACCTGAATAGCACTGCTATCTACCACAATTCTTAAAAAATCCAGAATAACTCTTGTTTTATCATGAAAATTAATGAAACTTATTTTATTCCCTAAATTTTTGAAGACTTTTACTTTTAACCAAATTCAACTTATCGTGGTGTAAAAAAAAATTATGAACACTAGTATGGCAAGTTTTTTTAAAAATTGACGCAACTAACCAATATTCCAAAATGGTATAATACTCTAGGAAAACAAGTTATAAAAAAATATGGGTCTATTATTTCTTAACTGGGGCCAAATTCCTTAAATTGTAATTGTCAGTAATAATTTTTACTACATGCCCAAAATGGGTGATTTAAATATTTAACCTTGAATTGATATTGGGATTTGTCTTGTCTCATCAAGTGCGGATTTTCATTACTCCAACTATGTAGGTTGTGAAGATTTAAATACCCATCTTTCTTGCATGTTGTTTCATCCGACCATAGAATTTTGTCTAGGAATTGGGGATCTTCACTGTGCCTTTGCAGCATCACACGGAAAAATGTGACTCGTAGCGGATAGTCCCGCGGTAATGACGTCTGCACACGCCTGTAGTAATATGGGTGAAGCTTATGACGTTTTAATATTCGATGTGCAGAACTTTTCGGGATTCCTGTAGCTTCTTCTATGGCACGTACCGAAGTAGTCAAATCATTTTCTATCTCATTGAGAACTTCTTCATCACGATCCAATCTAGGTCTTCCAGCGCTTCTCTTATTGGATGGCATACGAACCTCCGAAAACGCTTGATGCATATTAATAAACACTCGATAATCAGGATATCTTTGAGCATTTGGGTATCTTTCTCGATACAGTCTGCTAGCAGCGTTAGCATTACATCGGCATTCTCCATAGATTAAATGCATATTAGCGTATTCCTGTAGTTTGTACGGTTTCGGCATGTTAAACGCCAAACAGTCCAAAATGCGCCAGAACTCTAAATCACAAAACACACAATCGTGGTCCAAGATAATGCCAGGTCAGTTCAGTTTGCAGATCACTTCCAGTCCAAATAATGCCAGGTCAGTTAATTTTGCAGGTCGATTCCAGTCCAAAAAGCCAAGCCAAAAATCGATAGTATGTACGAGAGCCACGTAAGTTGAATTGGGAACGGTGCGCAGTAAACAAAGGAGCAGAGCGTACTGAACTGACTTGCTGAGAATAATAACAGCTTCCTGCCTGCTAACCTGCCCTGTTGTTGTCTCTTTTTAACATAAATATCTCTATCTATCTATCTCTCTCTAACATATAAGGTATGTATGCCCCATTAAAATTCCTAGAAATGGTAACAAGAACCCATTTCGGGCATGTAGTAAAAGTGATTACTGACAATTACAATTTAAGGAATTTGGCCCCAGTTAAGAAATAATAGACCCATATTTTTTTTATAACTTGTTTTCCTAGAGTATTATACCATTTTGGAATGTTGGTTAGTTGCGTCAATTTTTAAAAAAACTTGCCATACTAGTGTTCATACTTTTTTTTTACACCACGATAAGTTAAATTTGGTTAAAAGTAAAAGTCTTCAAAAAATTTAGGGAATAAAATAAGTTTCATTAATTTTCGTGATAAAACAAGAGTTATTCTGGATTTTTTAAGAATTGTGGTAGATAGCAGTGCTATTCAGGTTGCCTATAAAAAAAAGAAACAAATATTAAAAAAATTGTGGTCATGGTAGTGAAAAATATCATAAACGGTCTCAATTTATGAAGAATTTCATTTTTTTATATAACTTAAAATATAATTGGGATATATATTTTTTCTTTTTTTTCCCCGATTAGTCCGGGGCAGCTCTATCCTCCAGTGTTGGCTTATCGTTGAATTTTGGGACACGTTGTATGTAAATAATGTGAGAATTGTCTTTTATATATTTAGGGACTGAGTGTAAAATCAGATGGTAGGGATTGGTTAATACATGATTTAATGTTGTGTAGAATATTTTAAAAAGAGTAAGTGTTTGTACACATTTCTGCACAAGTTAAAAGTACGTCAATAAAGTTATAAAACAAAGTACACCGCAAGCATCGTTAAGTTACAAAAACAGAAAATCATGTTTGAAAAAGTAATAAGAAAGCTAGTCAGTTGTTCATCAGCTTTTGAAAGATTTTATATGAAATCTATGGTTTAGCGTGGCACATCACTATCGTAAGGCTCGGTAATAGATATAAGAAAAATATTACTAATTTTTCTTATCAAAGGGTGTGAGTGCGAGTGGTAAGTGCAACTGACAAATGACAAGTGATTAGTGCGTGTGAACAGGCAGTGACAAGTGATAAGTGGGAATAAAATACGCTCTATGCACTTATCATTAAAATGACTGACAAATTTAGTCAGTTGCACTTGCCATTCGCACTTGTCACTTCTCAAAATGTAAACCGGGCCTAAGTGGGCGGTACCCATCCATGAAGTACAACAATATCTATATCATGGAGTATAGAAGTAAGGAGGACAATCTCACATCATAGGAGAATAGCTGAAAATGTGTCCATCCGTAAGCAGTAAATAACAGTTCTAAAACTCTCCACAACAGCGCTCGAGTAGCTACGGGGCATCTACGGGGTACTATAAATCGCCGTAAAATACGTTGAGAGTGATTTTGATAGTAAAATTTTGAAAGTAATAAAATAAGTATTGTAAAAAGAATATGGTGAAAGTCTGTACAGTAAAAAATTATAAAAAGTTCTTTAAAACTTAGACTGTAGACGAAAACTTTTTTATACAGCGTCTGTACTCCTTACCTCTACACCATGGAGGTTAGAGAACAGGAGAACGATCGCCGTAGAAAATAGTGTTCCAGAAATATGGACACCATCAGTGAGGCGCTGCGATCACTAAGTGCAGTCAATAAAAGTCATTTTCAGTCTATTTTTCCGATCAAATGCTCAACCACATGCACATACACGCACAATAAAATATTTTTTTATGTTTCTTTTTTTCAAAAATTACAAAATTACGGAGCATGAAAACTTTCTACAAAAAAAAATGAAAAGAAAATTTGTACATTTTTCAACTAACTTGTACTCATAAACAGCTAACTTCGCAGTCACTACTCACCGACGTCAGCGCCGCTATGTATTCTACAATTTTCAAGGACAGGCGGGCTATGCTTTAGTACGTAGTGATCGTTCTCCTGTTCTCTAACCTTCATGTATATGACAGATTATCTAAAAAAAATACATCAAAATTATCAAGCTTAATTTGACAGACTATAGGAAACCAGAGCTTAAGTGCAGAATAAATAATAGTACCAAAGAGTATATAGTAACTGTCCTAAATAATACTACATATAATAGCCTATAGCTTAAGCGATAATGTATCTATGCGTGTGTGAAATTGTTAGTTCATTGTTTTCATAGTTATGCCTTCTTTCGTATTCGCACACGTAAAAGATAGATTTATGCATACGTCTTGTATAGAAATGAGACAGAGCGGTGTGATTGTTTGTCCCTTTCTGCGTGCCGATTTTTTTGTTTAGCAAACTACACTTTGCTAAACAAGTTTGACAGTTCGTAGTGATCTAAGGAGTTTACAAGCTGGTTTAAGTGAGAAAAAAGTATTTTGTGAGCTTAAGATCGGTGACTCTTGTTCAGTTCAGCTCTTAGAACAATTAAAAAACTTTATAAATGGTTATATGTAGTGTCTTAGGA